CAGCGCCTGAGGTACTTTTGTTAAACACTTCAAATTGCTACAAAACCAAAATATTCGCCTGAAAAATCGAGTCATGTTTTTAAATCATCTCGTAAAAAGAAGACATTTATGTGTATGCCAGGCATGACGCCAAACTTGTTCAGAAATAACGAAAATGTCAATTGTATATAGCCGCCTTCTCTAAGCGAGTGATGTCTATAGGTCTTGGTGAAGATTAAACATCCCTTGAACTCTGTGGATTGACGCTACAGGATCCCAAACAACGGATTATATCAAGTAGCAGAATTCACATGACTTGAAGACTTTCAACAATAGAAACAGCTAAAATGGATGCCGCATATAACTGAAAAAAAAAACCAAAAAAAAAAAAAAACACATTCCTAATCAAGATAATCACATTTCACATTATTTCAAATAAAAGGTTTGAGCAGTACCCAAACCAAATCAGAAAGAGTACCGTATTTTCCGGCTTACAACACGGACTTTTTCCTAAAAAATACCCTGAAAAATACGTGTGCGTCTTCCAAGACGAATATAAGGCAAGTAAGCTTGGACTGTCTCCTAGGCTTGACTGATAGAAACGTGGATTTGTATGTTGAGGCATTACACTATAATGTTAGCTATCTATCTAATTCAGCCTTTTATATGTTGTAACCGCAGTACTTAGCTGCTAAAAGTATTTCCAAGTCTATAAACCTTCCTGGAGCCAAGCCACAAGCTTAAACATGCTCAGTTTACTAGCAGCGGCGCTAGCCTTTCTGTTCTTGACTAGTATGTCATTACCATACACACAAAATCGGACGAGTGATTAATGTAAACAATACGTGGCGCCAGTATGTGATGGATGCATGGTGAATGTGTTGTTGTATGAGAATGACTTTTTTTTCTTAGAAATTTCTTTTCTATATTAGAGGGCGTCTTCCAAGCCGTAGCGTCTTGTACGCCAGAAAATACATTAATAACCGCTACAGGATTTGAGAAAGCTATTTGTTTGGGAAATTGTTTGAAGAGAAGGATTTTTAAGATTTCATGGAGCAGGAAGGGAGTTGCACAATTGAGAAGTGCGAGAAATGTTAGCATAGAACTTAGGGCTACATCTAGCCAGTTCAACTATAAATTGATGAGATCTCGACGCCAGTTTAGTACAGCGCTTAAATTCATACAGTCTAGTTACTAAAGCGAAGCGCTCTTTAGAACAATTATAAAATTTCAACTATCAGTATTACTATTACATGTTCAATGAATGCCGAATGTTTCCATATAAGGAAACGGCTAATATTACTCTTGCCATTAACATTACTAGTCGATGATTACTATGAGGGGTCTTTAAAAATAATACAGGCTTTTTTTCATTGCTTTCACAATAGGACATGCTTCTTTTCCAAGTTTGTGTGCTGTTTTGACAAAGAAGGAATCTTGTGGAACAACTTGATTCAGTGAGCCAGCTCATATCAGGCTGGACAAACCAGTTTCTATCAGCCGGGATATATTCTCAACAAAGCACAACAAGGTTCGTTTAATTTCGTTTGCGTTTACGCCGTCGTAAATTTTACTTTAACTTGAAATTGTTATGGAAACTTACCCATAATAATAATGGACTATTCCTGACATAATAAACACTGCGCCTCTCAAGAGGTATCAGAGGATATTGTAAGACGAGGAGAGATAATTGAGAGCATATTGTAAGGACATTGGAATACTTGTCGAGACAACATAGTTCACTCTAACCAAATCTAATAGTCATTACTAATACTTTTACTTCTTTGTATTATATTTCTGTGGTAATATATCTTTGTATTCCATACCTGTGTTCGTTTTATTCTTTCATTGGTTCTAACCTTGGACCGTCACCGTGCTACAAGGAACTTGGACCATAGCAGAAATGAAACGAGGTAGCAACAGTCTTGCCTTTCATTTTATCTGTGAGTTTACTGAGAAAAAAAATCAGTTAAGCATCGTTACACTGTTACAAGACATAATGAATGATTGTTAGCAAAAGGGATAGCCCAACATGACAATGACAAATTAGAGATACCTAAGTCAAACAAGTACAAACATTTAAATATCTGCAAAGTGCTTTAACACAGGACGAATAGTGTGATACCGAAGTCCGAAGGGTCATTGGGATAGCCAAAGATGCCTTCCAAAAGCTAAGCCTTCCAAAAGTTAAGCAAAGTATTATGAAACAGAAAAAAAATAGTTAGAAACAAAGAAAAGAGTACTGAAGTGTTACATATCGTTTCTCGTATACATCAGTGAATGCTGGACAATCTCCTCAAAGATGAAGAGACTTAAAGCAACAGAAATGTTTTCCTACAGAAAGATGCTGAGGATACCATGGACCGAATATGTGAGTAGCGACTAAGTTTTTAGACAAAATGGACACAAAAATGAGAAGTTGTACTTACAATCAGTAAGAGGCACGTAATGGTGAAAGAATGACTAAAGAAAACAATGTTTAGTGAACTTAAGTAAATGGATAGAGGGACAAAGTTTAGGAGAAATAATAAAAATACATTAAGTACTACAAACGACAGGAAATTGTGGAGAGCCATGATCGCATATCTCCTGGAGTTACAGGGCACATAGAAGACACGGCTTTTCCATAAGGATTGGCAATTATTTCAGACAGTTATATGCCATACGTGATACACGCTTAGGCGATCATGAATCTTTCGATACATGACTGACGAGGCAGATTTTTTTCCCCATTTCCTGACGATCCGCGTAGGTGAAAGTTTATCTGTCTCTTTAGGTCTAATTTTATATATATATATATATATATATATATATATATATATATACATATAAGGGATGCTGCCTCGTTCCCAATACTAGATACAGATGACGTCAATATAGACGGTTTCAAACTTCCAACTGTTCAAAGAATACTAGGATGAAGAGAAAAGAATTTTGTCCTCCACACAGAGAAAACATGACTGCCATGGTCGAAAGTAATTGAACAGAGCAATAACACAATGTGAATATCAGACAGTTTATTTCCAGCACAAGACTAGACAAATTATATGGCAAAGAACAATAAACAGGAAACATATAGACATTATCGGTTCTTTTTACTGGTGCTCCTGCCACTCACCTAAAGGTTATTGACATAACTTTAAGGACGGATTTACTCTATTAAGTGCAAGAGATACGAGAATGAATAAATTGGAGAAAACTCAAGACAACTCTAGATGAACACAAAAAGGACATCTTAAAAAAAATAACACACGTAACGCATTGGGTGTTCACGGGAACGAAATTGACCACAATTTTGACATAGGGAATACTACTTTGATTAAAAGAGAAAATAATCCACTGAAAATATCTGGAAAGTGGCCTGATGGATAGTTCAGGCACGGTAAATTTGTGCCAAGGATCTTACAATATATAACTATTTTCGGTAGATTTTCTGTTGTCACAATGTGGGATAGTCAGAGACAAAGATGATGGAGAGAAAAAGAAAAAGAATATAGATGAATTTACCTATATTGAAAAAAAAAATCTTTTAAAATTTTGAAAATACCAGCGTCTCGTTGCGTGCGCATGTAGACGTAGCAAAATCAACAAAGGCAAGTCCGATGAAATTCTAAGTGATGAAACGTGTCACAAAACCTCTTTCAAATTTTTCATACTATTTTTCTAAATACTGTCTGTTGATATATAAAATCATATATCAATATATATATATATATATATATATATATATATATATATAAGAAGAAGAAATATAGTTTTGGGGTTTGCTCTATTTATGAGATAAAAATGCTAAATATTAGAGATTCAGCGATAGAGCGCATATATATATATATATATATATATATATATATATATATATATATATATATATATATATATATATATATATATAGATAGACCCGGTTTTTTAAACCATGTGGTTCAAGTTTTATCATTTAAGTTTAATTGGTACTTTTACCACCGGAAAAGTTTTTCCTATGTTTCAAGAGGAGTTCAATATGATTACATGACATGCGTGAACTCAGTCATTGATTTTAGCCATATTATACTTTCCACACACACACACACACCCGCACACACGCACGCACATATATATATATATATATATATATATATATATATATATATATATATATATATATATATATATTGCAATTACATTAAACGATTACACTGGAATAATATTAAACGTAAGACAATTTTTAAGAGATAATGCAAAAATCTTATGAAGAACTCAATGCAAAGAAAAAAACAAAAAAATTGTGGAAGGTGTTTAGAAATAAGATAAGCAGTCAACACTATATGATTCTACATAGGTCATCGTATATTAACGTCTGTATAAAAAAAATCCAGATAAATTTCCAGTTTGACCGTTTCAATGACGTCAGCCTGAGTGACATAAAAATTGGTTCCAGGAAGTTATTAAAATTTGTATAGACAGAACTCGTCGATATTATTTTACCATTTTAACATTTTGCTCTCGCTTCTTGAAGATGATTGAGACAAGCAGATTGAAAATTACCAGAGTCCACTAATATATATATATATATATATATATATATATATATATAAGGTATTTCGGCAGCTAAATTAATTATGTTAAATTATATATATATATATATATATATATATATATATATATATATATATATATATATATATATATATATATATATATATATATGTATAAGATGCCCTTTGAAATAGTACTTCATTTAATATAAAATATAGATATCAAATAGGTGATGTAACATTCCATGTTTATAATAACAACGAGAATGAAGCAATCAATAAAACAGTTGGAAAGAATACGTAAGTAGGAAGAAGAGGCAATGAATAGGGTGATTTATGCCAGAGAATAAATCACAAATTTAAATAAGGAGAAATGGTTTGCAAGAAACAGTCATTTTTGTGGTATACAGACAGGACTAATAGAAAAAAAATTGTAGACTAAGTAAAAATAAGTAAGATATGTAGCGAGTCATTGGGAAGACAGAGAGAGGGAGAGAGATAAACAATGTTTAGAACAAACTGAATGTAGAGAAGATATGTAGTAATGAAGAAGCAAGAAAGAGAACGGCGAAGAGAGATAATAAAATGAATAAGAAAATATTAGAGAGAGGCAATAAAGGCGAATGTATTGGGAAATGAAAGAAAACTAAAGAGGAGAGGGAGTTCTGTCGGAGTAAAAAGTAAGAGTGAGAAAAAGAGAAGAAAAAAGTAACGGAAATAAAGGAGAAAGAAGGAAGAGAGAAAAGTAAAAAAAAAAGAGTTGAAATGAGAGAAAGAGAGGAAAGAGCGGGCATTGACGAGGAGTTAGAAGCTGAGAAGTAATGTAATCATAAGAGAGAGAGAGAGAGAGTAGGTAGAAATAGAAAAGAAATAAAGAAAGAATGATAGAAAGAAAGAGGGAAAAGGAACACAATGAGAGAAAAGAAAGAGACACTCGAAGCCCCATGACCTCAAATTATAACATTAGATATTTTATATTGTTTATTGCGACAAGTTAGAGAACGATCAAAAAGTAAAGCGTTCAGCCTCGTTTTCGATCGAACAGTCGACCCGATCGGGACGTGTTTTCCTTGGGCAATGTCTAAAATAAAAGAAAGTAAAATAAAATGTAACTTCGATTGCATTCGGGCCAGACAAATCGATAATGAACTTCACGTTTTCCTCGAAAGTAATCGAATTTGAAAATTTCAATTCAACAATACATAAAGAAAATCAACTGCGCTGTAGTTAATTTAAACTTGAACACTGAGAAAGATAAACACACATATAAATTTAGTATAGTGGTAGTCTTCTATCGTTTCTGAGAGGAATCCTGATATTCGGAGAGCGTCGAACATTCAAAGATAACCGTTCAGAGTAGGTATTTATTAATTTTTGTTTGAATTTCTTTGTTAAGAGGGAATCGTTATTTACATTTTACGCGCGGACATTTGTTCTAATCTTTGCTGTTGTCATGACAACATTTCCGCCGTTGCGCCCCACGAACTTCACCAGACACTTGTCGATTCTGCAGTACCTGCCCTTGGATATCTCGTCTCGTTTTTGTACTGCTCAGTTATTGCTCACTGCCCAGCCCGGGGACTGAATTCTCAATTACTAATCCCCAAATTCACGCATCAACGCTTTTAATCCACTATATGCAGTCAAACGTGACAAGTAGCACTTTTCGGCTGGCAGGTTAGGTTTAAGGCTCCATGTCCTCAACACACAACTGCCATACAGATTTCTACACCAACAGAAACACATAAAGCTTGTACATAAATATTTTGTATTATAACAAATATAAGGGTATATAATATAATAATATAACGAGATATATGCGCGTTATTGGGAAAGTGAAGGCAATGTTGAAGTTACACGGTAAAACAACTGGGAGACATTGACGGGCGACACCACCTGTGCGCATATGGTTATGGGTAGAGGAGCGTATAGGTAGTGAGCATGTGATGATGGGCGAGAAGCGATGAGGTCCGACCTATGGATGCTCCACTCACCTATTGAACCATCTAGAAACAATGCGACCTTGTGTGATTTTCTGTGGACAGATGGAAGCAAACATGATAAAATCCATCGCCGCGTGTTATCACAGCATGGCGGACGCACCATGAATCAGCTCAAGGATGCTGAGTGGTTAGAAGGCATTATATATATATATATATATATATATATATATATATATATATATATTTTGATTTTTTTATTTAAAATATATCGTCTCATTTATATTTATATACAAGACTAAATCAGAATATAAGGGTTATTTTGAAATTATTCGGTAAAACAACAATGAATGAACGGGTAACTAGACGCGCGCACCTTTCCATCGTTCAGTCGAATGGCAGGGAGCAACGAAGTCAGATATATGGACACTCCACTCAGTGAGAACACCATCAAGAAACGCCATGTCATATTTAGATTTTTTCTGTGATCCATTATTGTGGTAGGCAATTGTAAGGCAGCCGCAGTAGAAGTGGTGTTTCTTGTGCAAGATATACTGAATTCAGAGTTTTCCTTCTCCTAGACCGGTTGCCACACAAGGCTATAGAACCCAATATGTCCTCCTGCTTTACCTCTGGGCGGGTAGAGAAATATATTCATACCTTTCTCAATGTTTTATTAGCCCGTAAGTGAATGTAATCGATCCGTAATGGAATTCGAACTCGGCTCTGCGATTCCTCAGTCCGAGCCGCTATCCATAAGTGAGAGGGGGAAATAGTGCAGCTTGAATGACATTTTCACAGCGGTTAACTTTACATTGTGGCGATGCTGAGAGAATTAAAAGTGCCAACAGGATTCGTTATGGCGACCACAATCTTAATATAGGATATTTTGATGACACAGTGTTGATACAAGTTAGAAAAGTGAAAATAAATGAAATCCTGGAGATGGGAGTAAAGGAAATCGAGACGAAAGAAGTAAAAATTAATTGTAAGAAAACAGAATGTATGGTTGTCAGTAAAAAGTAACAATTTAGGGTTCTAATTACAAATTGGAGACAATGAAATTTACCAAGTACAAAAATTTTACTACCTAGCAGCATGGCCCGGCGTTGCCCGTGCTTGATTCAAAAAATCGTACGACTCATACACCAATCGCTATCACTTGACTTAAAATATTTTTGCCCTTCCTTGCCTTTAAAGGAGTGCCCTTTGCCGTGCTGATGTTGCTACATGCCTTACTTCTTACTCACACTGTGAATTTTTTCTAAGCTCTATACTAAACATTAAATCTGTTACGAAAAAAGAACTAAACAAAATGAACACAAAACGATCAGCTTTAAAAAAGGACTCGTAACTGGAAAAATCGAATGAAAAAAAGAATGTAAACAAATACTTTTTCACACCCAACCCAGTTCTGCGGAATCAGAATCAACGTTGAGTTTAAGCAAGCGAATGAGCCAATTTGAATAAAGTGCCATGCAGATTTAAATTTTTCCCACTTGTGACGAATGCAGCTATCGATTTTTTGCATGCTAGCATGCTAGTTAACATTCGTGTCAGTCAGCTGTTGGCTCTCATGCTGGCCAATAGAATCTTCCTGTCTATTCGTGGCAGCCAGCTATAGGCTCTCACTCTGGCCAGTAGAAAATGGCCGCAAACTACATGAAAATTACCGTAGAGGCATGAAAAATCGATTATTTTCACTATCGATGGGAGTTGGGAAATGCAAAGTCGGTCTTGGCCTTTTCGAAAACTTGGAGCATGTGCATGTAAATTTTGGTGCAAATCCATCGAAAATTGCGGCCGTGCATTCGTTACATGCACATACGCATCCTGATTTTTATAGATAGAGATAAGTGATTTAATAGAGAACGGAAAAAGCGACACAGAAATCCGGAGGTGTATTGGGATAGCGAAAGATGCCTTCCAGAAGATAAGCAAAGTATTGAAAGAGAAAAATGAGATTGTCAAAAATGCCGCTTTAAGGCTTTTTAAAGCTGCTGTTTTTACTAATGTCATTTTCATCTCCGCTGTTTCGTATCCAAACTTCTGTTACACTTCTGGTCCAATACACACACCAGAAGCAACTTTCCCAGAATCATTGCTCGTATTCCGGCATGAAATTACTACTATTTTTATATAACACCGCATAGAATAATAAAAAAAAATGCTAACAACGGTGTTTAAAAGCCACCTTAAAAATAGCCCAATAAATATGTCGTAAGCGCTTACAATAGGAGTCATTAAGAACCATTTACATATATTCTTAGTCCTAATAAATAAATAAAAAAAAACATACGGAATATAAAAACTGATTTAAAAACTTAAAGAATTTCCTTGTAACACACATTCAACGAAACATGTATAAATAAGGACTTGTTCCCATGCTCTCTCTCTCTCTCTCTCTCTCTATCTAACTATCTACACACACACACGCACACACACACACACACACACACACACACACACACACACACATATATATATGTATTTACACTGAGAAAGATAAACACACATATAAATTTAGTATAGTGGTAGTCTTCTGTAGTTTCTGAGAAGAATTCTGATATTGGGAGACACGCGTATATAAGACGCTAGAAGCGAAAATCGCACCGCATCTCATATCGTTGCTTAGAAATCATCTATGTAAACATTGCCAGACTGTCATCACTGTCGTGTCCGTATATTGTTTAATATGTTGTAATTGGCATCTTTGATAATGGCTTAAGTAAGCCGAAAGCTTAGATTATATTAAAAAAATATGGATCAATATTGTGAATTTATTTCTTCGTTCAACGATAATGTTATTAAACTTATCAGTTGTTACGAAAAAAATGTACATAAAATAAATAGACAACGCTTGTCTATATTATTTATTGAAACGTGTATAAATGAAAATATGCTGCTAAATACACAATATATATATATATATATATATATATATATATATATATATATATATATATATATAATGGCATGGTAATTGCGTTTAAGCATGACACAGACTGGCCGCTGGGTATTGACCTCTATGTCCATTTTATATTAAAAACACTCTACTCTATCCATGATATCGAGCTTTTTAACGCTTAAATGTAGCATAACTTAAAACTATATTTTATCACACACACACACACATACACATACACACACACACATATATATATATGTATATATATATATATATATATATATATATATATATATATATATATATATATATATATATATATATCGTCATCCACAGACTGATTCACTGTATCACAGCTCCTCAGTGTGGCTAGCCATCCTATATATCATGTCATCCATAAGTTCTGTGCGAATTTTGAATAAAGAAAACAAGTGACCAAATGTTACATTTAATTACAGATTCAATCAACAATGTATTTTCCCTGATTATCTATGACTTCCTTCCATCTATTAACAAGCTTACTAATTCCATTACTGTAAAATTCTCTTGGCTTTGATTCGAAGAACTCACAATTGTTAGTTTTCACCTCTTCCTGTGTTACAAAAGCTGTTTCTTCCAAATGATTTTGTAAGCTACGAAACAAATGGTAGTCTGAAGGAGCAAGATCGGGAGAATAAGGTGGATGAGGAATTTTCTCCCAACCAAGTTCTTCGATCTTTTGTGACGTGATTCTTGCTGTGTTGGGTCGTACATTGTCCTGATGAAACATCACCTCTTTTCGATTCACTAGAGCAGGTG